AATCTTTTTCTTCTTTGCTTCCTTTCTTTCTTTCCATCCACACACCTCATACATGGTAAATTAAAGTTGTGTTGATGACATTTTTAACATATGGACATCACAAATTTCTGGCCACAACGTCTCAATAAACAGTCCCCCCACCCCTTCCTCTCCCAGCCTTTCTCCTCTATTACAGGAGTGTAAGTTGTTGGGGTCTACACAAGTCTTTTGTCCCTACAACAGCCATTAGTAGGTAATTAAGTCTTAACATAGCCTCTGCTCCCCTGGCTACTATTACACCCTGCTCAAATGGAACGGCTTACAAGCTCCTTTACACGGCTGGACAAATTGAATGGTGCTCATCAGGCTCTGCCTATTATTCCTTAGGGGGCGTGTCTGTGAGTTTCCCCTAACAAGATAGGTCAATGGGATGATTGATGGCTGCAGAAGTGGGAACAAAACAAGGGGAGGTGATAAAAATCAGAAAAGAGGGGAATGAATGGAGAGGGAACGAGGGTCTTGTATCCGAGTTGGGGACGTCTATGCGAGTGTGAGAGTGTGTGGGAATATTTACTGCCCTGCAGAAGTGGGCGGCTCTGACTTGTTGCTAATTAGCGGGGAGGCATCTGAGCTCTGGTGTGTGTGTGGAAATGGTGAGTATGCTTGGGTTCAAGGAATACGACAGGATACTAGGGCGAAAGAATAGCAAAGCTGACCACCTAAGATGACCCCCCTTACACATTCACATATACATACCTAAAGTTACAAACCCCTCACTACTTTCCCCCACCTCCTACAAATTGATGTAAATGAGCTGTGCTTTTAAAATAAAGGCAAATAATTTATAGGCAACTGTCAGTTTCCTGAGTTAGAAACACACACAGAGAGAGAGGCAAACAGCTGGGCTCTTAAACTGAAGAGTTCAGGCTTGTGTTTTTAAGAGGGGTCCCTTGTCATCTGAAGTACTTTGAAGAGGATCTGCAAACTATCACAAGCAGGGACACAGGCAAACAACACATTAGGTCATACATTCATAGGTACAGTATGAACAACACACAAGCTGTTTGTCTGTCAGAAAGTACTGGCTTTTGCCTCTTGATGCAGTCAGCTGGCAACACAGTCTTGCAAACTACATTGCAATTTACTTTCTAAAACATTTGGATAAAAACAAAGTCTTTGTGTCAAATTATTTCAAAATATTATGTCAAAATAAAGGTGTTCTCTTTCCAGCATTTCCTGTTAATAAAAAAGACAATTACATAACTTTAAGTTAGACTTTACTAATCACCTTGGACTAAACTTCCTTTCTTCCATTCTTCTTTTCAAGTTTCCATAATTTCTTCTGAACTTCCTTCCAAGTTTCAAAATGTTCTCCTTCCAGTCCCCTTCAAAATGACATTAAAAATGGCACTGTTTTATTCAAGTTGGACACAGTAATCTGATTTTCTTCCTATTATACCATTAATGGTGGGCTGGTTTAACTTCAGGTCTGCAACTGGCAAGTCTTTCAAAAGAACAAGCCATGAATTATCATCACTGTCTGTAAGACACTTTATCCCAGGTTACTCCATGGGTACTGTGCCTGTATAATATTGTAAGAGTACAGTTCCTTTGTATAAAGGTGATAATATGACAAACCTTTTCATATGCATGACACATACCCTGGTACAACTATATTTATACTCCTCTGTTTTGCAGGAACTTTTTGTTCCTTTATTCTCCTCTCACCAACCCATCTGCTCTTTTTTGGCACATTCAGTTACCTTTCACCTTGAGAAAGAGAGAGTGAGAAAAGAATCAAGCTCTAGTGAATTGAACCAATTTACAACAAACAAACCCCCCATTGCTAAAGGTTGCACATTACTCTATTGCAGAAAATAACAGGAGCACAAGATGGAGAGATGATAGCTATGATGACAAATATTATTATGGGGTTGGGGGAAACTGATGAAACCAAATCACTGCATTATCCTATATAGAATTTTTTTTTTTTTACGCTAACACATCACCAGCTTTTTCCCATACAACAGATCTGAACCTGTTGCTTTCGCACATGCAAACACACTGAACAGTTTTTAACAGCATGAGTTACATATAGATACAAGCGCTAATTGGTTTTTCTACATGAGAGTCCATTTTCTTCATAGGGTGTTCAAAGTCAACCATAATCCAACAAGAGATCCACACCGTCCTGACAAATGCCTCTCATTAGAGACTTCCCACAACACACATGGACACATAAGGTCAGCACGCATAACAGTTTTCTACTATGCATTGGAATGGGGTTACAGAGCCCACACCTCTGGCCCACACGCTGTCATCAGTGAGTTAACACCCAACTCTCAGTGGTCACGCTTGCCAGGTTGAGTGTTTAACTGACAGGTGGGAATGAGGGAATTGTATATATGTGTGTGTGTTTAGCAAGCAATCTGTAATGAGGGGGCAGTGTGTGTTTAGGCCTGTAATGAGGTGTGAGAGAGAAGCGAAGACCTTAATAGGCAGCAATTACTGAGTGTGTTGTCGCTAAGCGAGTCTATTTGTGTTTCGTTATATGTGTATGTTGTGTGTGTGTGTGCGCCTGTGTTGCAAAGGTTACTTTGACACCTACACTCTAGCAATTCCAGCAGAACATTTGATTGACAGCATTTCAAAGAAACGGACCCAATTTCAAAACAAACCTTTATGTATGTGTGAGAAAAAATTGCATCTTTAATTTACTCCCTGTATATTTTGTTTTTTTATTAGTTTCCTATTGATTACTAATTTGTTAAAAAAATATTTATATGCATAAGCTGTCATTCGATTCAAATATTTAATGTAATTACACAACGTCGATTAATTAATCACAAATTTTTAAAAAAACAAACAGCAAATTTGGCTCAGAAATTACCCCCAAAATATAATGTAAAGGCATTATTGTGTTAAATGAGAAAAGCACCAAACTTCACAAAACTTCACAAAAAAATAGCTTTAAAAATATATTTTTTCATATTTTTTATTAATAAGAAAAATATATATTTTTTTTTAATTAAATGATACTCTAAATAAGAAACTAAATCTGTCAGCAGGTGGCAGTAAATGTCTTAAAGGAACACTCCACTATTTTTGAAAATAGGCTCATTTTCCAAATCCCCTAGAGTTAAACAGTTGAGTTTTACCGTTTTCGAATCCATTCAGCTGATCTCCGGGTCTGGGGGTCGCACTTAGCTGCAGTTTAGCATAGATCATTGAATCGGATTAGACCGTTAGCATCTTGCTCAAAAATGACCGAAGAGTTTCTATATTTTTCCTATTTAAAACTTGACTCTTCTGTAGTTACATCGTGTACTAAGACACCAATCAAGGAATTTTGCTGCCGTACCATGGGTGCAGCAGGTGCAATGATATTAAGCAGCGCCAGAAAATAGTCCCCAGCTGGGTAACTTCCAATAAGACTATTTTCAGGCGCTGCCATGGTACGGCAGCAAAGTTCCTTGATTATTATGCCAGAATGGGAGTATAGTTCCTAGCCATATCAGCCTAGAAAATCGCAACTTTTAATTTTCCGTCGGTCTTAGTACACGATGTAACTACAGAAGAGTCAAGTTTTAAATAGGTAAAATATACTCACACAGGCATCTCTTGAATTTTAGGGATATGACTATAGGCTACTATAGGCCTAGGCTACATCATGCAGTGAACTGTTGCAACTTGCCTTGCTTCTTGTTTGTCACCAATCAACTTTATGAAATGTCTGGGGCGGGTGCGCTAATATTTTAAATCGCATTAATTTCTCTTAACAAATTAATCAGATTAAGGCGTTAAATCGACAGCCCTAATATATATATATATATATATATATATTAGTATGCAGCCAAGCTGTAAACGCTTTTTCTAAACAAAACCTTTTACTTTTTTTTTTTTGTGTGAAAATCTTGCAAAGTAAAAAATAAATAAACAATTAAAAATAATCTCATTTAAGTGCATCAAGTCATTTTGAAGCAGCAAGTAGTTTATTTCATTTGCTGATCGAAATGCATATACAGGTGCATCTCAATAAATTAGAATGTCGTGGAAAAGTTCATTTATTTTAGTAATTCAACTCAAATTGTGAAACTCGTGTATTAAATCAGTGACCGTATCAGAGCCACACTGCACCACAGACGTGTGCAGTGTAAATTGTCTAAGTATTAATAGTAGGGAAAACCCCTTATACTGGAGCGCGGCCACTTATGAAGTGTTTCTTGGAGGTTAGTACCTTGAAGAATGATCATATGACTCTTTACATACGCCATGTGACCTGTAAATGCGAAAAAGCAGTTTCCATTGCAGTTTTGCGAATTAATCCTTTTGCGCATTGCCTGAAAAACCACCTCATGCGAGCGTAAAAACTTTTTTGCGATATATGGCCGTTTTAGCGAAATTGACGCGTTTCCATTAGGCGTATTTTCAATTCGCATTTTGCGCAATTTGAAGGGTAATGGAAACGCACCTAGTGATTGTCTTCTGGACAACTGTCAGATCAGCTGTCTTCCCCATGATTGTGTAGCCTAGTGAACCAAACTGAGAGACAATTTTGAAGGCTCAGGAAACCTTTGCAGGTGTTTTGAGTTGATTAGCCGATTGGCTTGTCACCATATTCTAATTTGTTGAGATAGAGAATTGGTGGCTTTTTGTTAAATGTGAGCCAAAATCATCACAATTAAAAGAACCAAAGACTTAAACTACTTCAGTCTGTGTGCATTGGATTTATTTAATACACAAGTTTCACAATTTGAGTTGAATTACTGAAATAAATGAACTTTTCCACAACATTCTAATTTATTGAGATGTACCTGTAAGTTGGAGCTGTGGAACAGTTGGTAATGCACATATAAATTAGGAACATAAATATCTGTTGTCCCATTTGCTCTCTCTCCACTTTTCTGCCTAGTTTACACTATCCTTACAATTGAAGGCAAAAAGCCCATAAACAAACAAAAACAAAAACAACAAACAAAATATATATTGTGTGTTGGAGTGTTCCAGACGCTACAGACAACAGAAACCCAAAGAAAAGTTATATGCTACGTCATCTCTCTCCGATGCACTTTGACTTTTGGATGACCTGGTGATGACCTCCCGGGGACACTCTAGTTTTGGGATATCCCCAGGATGACCTCATCAATTAAGATGAGGATGAGTTCAACAGCAGTCAGCCACCCCATCGCCATCTCTCTCCCTCTCCTTCTCACTCTGTACATCCTTTGTCTCCATTAGTTTCCATCTCTCTGTGCATTCCTTCATTAGACAACGTCTCTCGATCTCTCTCCGTTGTTCCTTCTTTGACGTTGTCTCACCCCTTCACCTCAGCTGAACTTCATTTGCCCTCAACTACAGTAGTTACTCCATTGCACTCCTCCTGGAATATTTTCAAATACAAAAATAATGATTTTTCTCCATGCCAGAGTGATGCATTTATTTGTGAAGATACAATGGGGCTAAAAAAAAAAAAAAATCTAAATTTTAGTTTCAAACTGTAGTAATAAAACATTATGATGTAAAATGTATAAGAAATATTTTCTAAAAGTTTAGTTTTAATTTTTTTTAAACACAATGCTGTACTATTTCTAGGTCACTAATCAAATAAATACATTTGTGATAGGACCACATTAACTTTGTACAAAAGGTCATAATGTTCCTGTTGTCTATTGAAGAACAAGACGCGTTTTCATAAGTGAACTTTGAACATCTTTGTATTTGTGGGTGCTGAATATTTAGAAACAGTAAAAAGACATCTCAGCATGTTCGAGCATGTGTATGCAAGAAAGAGAGGAAAAAGAGAGAAAAGTGAAAGAAAGAGAGCATAGCTCTGATGAATATGTAAATCCTGATAGCAGCCCACTCTCCAGGGGACCCCCTTCACCCCTGCTTTCCCACCCCACACAAGAGATGAGGAACCGGGCCGCAATGAAGCTTAGCGGCCTGAGATCTTCACTTCCCAGATGATAATCCCACTGTCCAAAGGCACGGATAACGAGAAGAGGACCATAATCCTATCGCCCTTCTGTGTCACATATGTCACTTTACACACTGTCTTTCCATCACAAGACTTCATCCAGAGCTACAACAGATTGGCCCCCTCCAAAAAAGTGCTTGTCTTTCTTACTGTCCCTCCCTCTTCCTCTATACATACCCAATAACATCACCCACACAAACCAAGACCTTTCAAAAACAACACAACAAAACATCATCTTCACAAACTCCCCAGGCTTAGTTTGTATCAATGTCGCATCTCCATATTGCTGTGTGGGTGGCATGCGGTGGGGTGTGTGTGAGAATATTTACTTGTGTGAGGGACGTCTCAGGTTAAGATGCACCCCTCGTCTCACCCGCCTCCCTCAGCCCCTCGGCGCTTTGTGTCAGAGAGGACCTGTTGGTATCCGCCTTTGTCATTGAGTGTGCATGTCCATGGGCATATGGTTGATCCACCTCCAATAGGTTCATGTAGGCAGAAAACAGCCATTCATACGCCTATTCAGTCAAGCTGCTAGAGACACAGATTACTATGTCATAACACAGAGGGAGGGAGAGAGGGAGGGGTTCGAGTGATAGCGAGAGAGAAAGAGAGATTACTTCATAAACTTACTCTGATCTCTATGTGTGTGGCGCTGCTCTGGCATTTGAAAAGACTGAGCTATTGTCATTCTTTCAGGCCTCGATGCATCGCTTAAATTTGTTGCATCAAAAAGACATGGTGTGTTTGAATGCACGTCTGGGTTTTGCTGTTGTGAATCAAACACCGCAAGACCTGGTGGATTTGCACAAAAATGCTGAAGTGCTACTAGCGAACGCATTAGCATCTTGATTAATATCTATTCTCTTATATGTCAGATTTTGCAATATTTATGCACTCCTCATCGAGAGTCAGTGTTTAAGGCAAATTTGAGGAACAAACACTGGTAAAAATTTGTGACATTTTAATTCATTCATGAAACCTGCCATTATAATCCAGACTTCATGTGCATACTAAAATTGTATGAGTTTGTCACGTTCGGGTAATTTGTTATTGGAAGGAATAGGAATCATGGAGGACAACAGGTTCATTTTTGCCTGTTTCTTGGGGAAAATCTTAAGACAAAATGTACAGAAGATATTTAGTCAATATTCAATGGATTTTGAATAAAATGTAGCAGTAATAAAGTAATAAATATTACCCTCAATATTATATACATTCACTGTGCTAGACAGTCAACTTGGTCAAATATTTGTCATATAAATGCCATTTTCGATGTGTACAATACATACAATGTGCATAAAATGGTTATTTGTATACATGACTATAATGGCACTATAGATTTCTTGGGGAAAAATGAATAAAACTTAGTTTGTTTCTTCATCTGAAAAGATTTGGTCATGTTCACCAATAGATGCTCTGCAGTGTATGGGTGCTGTCACAATAAGAGTTCAAACATCTGATCAAAACATCACAATAATCTGCAATTTATCCACATGGCTTTAGTCCATCAATGAATGTCATTGTGAAGCAAAAAACTGTTTTTAATAAACAAATTCCTCAAGATGTTTTTTAACAAAGAAACAAACTCATCTGTTTCTTAGATGGCCTGATGGTCAGCAAATTTACAAACAAATGCTTATTTTTGGATGAACTATTCCTTTAACAGTCACTACTTTAATGGTTTTCACTTCTGCCATGTTTAAAGCTGCACAACTAAGAAATTCTGGTGTAAAAATTCTCAGTTTCCAAATATAACTTGAGAAACCTTTCACATATAATTTCCAACTAGGAAACTTGTATTTATGGTAATCCTGATAGCAAGTGAAGGCACCATTAGTCATGGTGCATTTGAACAATATCAAAACAGCTTTTTGGCAAAGAACTTCGCCATCTTCCTGAAACCTTCTTAAAAGGTTTGTAAAGTGTGTAATTTTTGGTTAAAACACTCCTCCTATCCAAGTTACTATGTAGAGACAATTATAAGTAACACATTTGTATGTCTTAAAGTGTAACCATTAATAAGGACAGTTCACATAAAATTTAAAATTCTGTAATTTACTTGCCCTCGTGTCATTCCAAAACCAGTTTGACTTGCTTTCTTGGAACACAAAGAAGATATTTTCAAAAATGTCTAAAAATGTTTTTCTTCAAACAGATAAAGTCAATCTTATTTGGACCCCACTGTTCTTCAAAATATATTCTTATACAAAAACCTATTATAACTATGTAAACATACTGACCTTGGCCTTGTGGTGCTATCAAAACATCCTGATGAGCCAAATACAGCAACACATGGTCAGGGCTATATGTTTTCCAAACAATGGAAGACAGGGAGAGTGTTCAGGAAACCTGTTTGAAAACAATAATTTTAACATTTCTGTTTGCTGCTATTGGAGGCAGATACATTACATACAGTGACAGAAAATAATGGCATGCAAAGTCTCTGACTACTTCATTCTTTTTTTTATTATTATATCCTTGAAGTGCCCTCTTTTCTCTTTCCAAATCAGTGTATATATAAAGTTCACTTTCCTGACCTCTGCGCTGTCTACTTGTCTAACCAGCTTGTTTGTCTCTCTCTCATGGCTCAGTTCTGTCTTCATTATACTCGGCATGTCCATCCTTGATCACCTTTTCTGCCCTCCTAGGACAGAAAAGCTCTACTTCTGACAGTAACACCCATCACTGTGTCACTTCCTCTCATTCTGATGACCTCTCGTTCTCAGGCCCCAATCACTTGTTCGCCAACAGTGTCAACACTGTCATTAAAGGCACATTGTCCTTATTAATTAATGAGTGCTGTTGTTTTTTTCCTTCTCTCCCTCTACACATACTTATTCGGGCAAATGCGGATTAACATATTCATGAGTCGGCCAGCTTTGCAGCAGCTTGCTCACGAATGGGGCGGGTCTGTTTAGCCCCTGTGTTTTTGTCTTCCTCCATACCTAACCTCGTTTGCTGGGCAGATCCCTGAACCATTAGAGCTCATGATCCTTTTATGCCAGCGAGACTCAGACAGGAGTGTCGGGTTATGAACCCAAACGCTGCTGTTTCACGCACCAGTGAACACACCCCGGATAGTAAGGCTCAAATGCTAAGTGTTACAAACTGATTAAAATGTCTGTGTTACAACTTTATCAAGCGACAATAAACAATGCTCATCCACCAGTAACTATGGCGGCTTCTGATATTGTCTCAGAGCTGCTCAAATGTTCCCAGTCCTGGATATTTTGTTGGGTGATCAGACAAAGAGATGTTTTTTGTCATATGCACGACATAATCATTAAGTAGTATTTAATCTCAGACATTAATGGTTGCAATGATTCTTACAAACATGACTTAATTTTTCACTGCAAACATAACCTAAAAGCCTTGGTGCTTATTTTGCATTTTAATCATAGTATATAAAGTGACTGAGTACATTTGATTTATGGATACACAATATATCATATTTTGGTTATTATTACTACTATTATTGATTTATCAGTATTTGTTTATATTGTATATTTAATTGAACATGCTTGTTTCCTTTATTTTTACATTACATTTGCTGTCATCTAACTCATACTTGATAACATTGTTAAATGTAATCTTTAACAAATCTTAAAACTAATATACATTTTTCATATTGTACATTTTAATGTCGTATTGCCTAAATTCTTACATTTAGCATTCAAATATTAAATTTGTGTGTTTATTTTGAATGTACAGTACTAAGACAATAGTATAACATTTTATTACTGTACATTCATCAGTCAGAAAATGAAAAACTTTCAGTCAGTCAGAATTTAAAATCAGAGAATCCCTCATTTGATTTATATATGACAAATCAATAATCTCAAACAAATATATACACATTTCTGTAACTTGATAAGAAAAGTATTAGCAATTAATAGGTATATAAATATTAAGGATACACAAAATATTGGTGACCATATCTATATCGCCCAATACGTTTTCTTTCAGTTTAAAGTTAGGATGATTTTGGAAGATGGCAAGGTCAGGGCTTATTTATTTATTTTCTTTCAATTAAAACATTCTTCAGTTAAAGGTTTTCTTCAGTAAACAGAGCCAACAGTTTTTCTAATATACATAACTAATCTCATTTGAATTGCAGATCAAAGCCTTCATTTTAAATGACTCAATGTCAGAATGTAAAAATTACAGTGTATATCTGCAGAAAATGTATAACGAAATGTAAAAATTTGCAAGTAAGGGTATATTTACTGCAAAGTGTTTTGGAGGGAAATTACAAAAACTAGGAAAGTCTGTATTCAAGTATTTTTTTTTTCAATTTCCAAAGGAGCAAAAGCAACAACCCGCCATTACTAGTTGTGTCCATCACAAAGCCTTGTTAACTGCTAAACATTTACCTTACGGACAGACACATAAACTGAATCATTCTCTATGTCCAGCTCATTGGCCCTGCTTACACATTTACTTACACACTGAAACAGTCTCTACTCTGCAAAGTGTTTTGGAGGGAAATTACAAAAACTAGGAAAGTCTGTATTCAAGTATTTTTTTTTTCAATTTCCCAAGGAGCAAAAGCAACAACCCCTCTTATTAGCCATTACTAGTTGTGTCCATCACAAAGCCTTGTTAACTGCTAAACATTTACCTTACGGACAGACACATAAACTGAATCATTCTCTATGTCCAGCTCATTGGCCCTGCTTACACATTTACTTACACACTGAAACAGTCTCTACTTCTATCTATCTATCTCTCTCTCTCTCTCTCTCTCTCTCTCTCTCTCTCTCTCTCTGCCTCTTGCCCGTGCACACACACAGAACTAGCACTCACCAATTTGTAGCCTGCACAGTCACATTGTTTGTTGAGGCTTGCAGTGCAGGCCGCTTCGTTAGCTTGGCCTTTAACGAGCTGCTTAATTGAGCTGTCTAGCGGGCCACCTGTCGCCCTGCACCTCATTAGCATACTAATGCTCCTACATTGTCCTGCAGTGACAGCCAGAGAGAGAGAGAGGGTGAGTGGGAGAATTGAGGGATGGGTGGAAAGAAATAGAGATGTTATGATAAACCAATTTTTCACAATTATTACAACAACAAAAAAAGAAAAAAAGAATGCATTTGACAAAATTATGCATATTAATCTAGATCTAAAACCATAATGGCATTCCCACATAAGGTTTTATTATATTTACCTGTTCAAGTTCTTGCTAAATATTAAAACTTAAAGAATACAAATGAAATGACATGAAAAAAATATCTTTACAAAGTCACCAATTTGTAGCCTGCACAGTCACATTGTTTGTTGAGGCTTGCAGTGCAGGCCGCTTCGTTAGCTTGGCCTTTAACGAGCTGCTTAATTGAGCTGTCTAGCGGGCCACCTGTCGCCCTGCACCTCATTAGCATACTAATGCTCCTACATTGTCCTGCAGTGACAGCCAGAGAGAGAGAGAGGGTGAGTGGGAGAATTGAGGGATGGGTGGAAAGAAATAGAGATGTTATGATAAACCAATTTTTCACAATTATTACAACAACAAAAAAAGAAAAAAAGAAGAAGAATATATTTAGGTGCATAAATTTGACAAAATTATGCATATTAATCTAGATCTAAAACCATAATGGCATTCCCACATAAGGTTTTATTATATTTACCTGTTCAAGTTCTTGCTAAATATTAAAACTTAAAGAATACAAATGAAATGACATGAAAAAAATATCTTTACAAAGCCTGAAAGTGTTATCGGAAAAATTTGATTCGTAAGTTAGAAGTACTGCTATCTTATCACTGAGCTGGATGTAATTGGGCAATACTAGTGCAATGGATTAATAGGCTTTTTCACCTTTTTACTGGGTGCACACATAGTTGCTCAAGTGCCTGCTTTCATTGAATTCATGTCATGCAGCTGCTGCACCAAAGATCTACCTGCCAGGGAGAGAGAGAGAAGTGCAGTGTTTTTGTGAATGGTCAAATGGCTTGACAGGTATTGTTGTGTTTGATTAGAGCATTCAGTACAGCCTCGGGCTAAATTTGCCTCTAAACACACTGTAAACTAAAGAGGCCTTTAGACTGGCACAGGACACACACGAACATGTGATTTACATACTTGTTCTGTCACACACAAAATAGACTTTTGAAGACAAGCTCTACACTCACAGACATTTTTCAGCCCCGACCCTCAGAGGCCAAGTCCCCACCAGATGGAGAGCCGTCCACCTCAACCATTGATGACCATGAACTTTGACCTGTAACAGGCTGACCACTCACACTGATTGCCTGACAGACACCCACACAAACTACACAATCACACGATTGTCGTGATAGGCATTCAAAATGCCATAATATCATACTACTCTTACTATTTCTGCAGTATCCAGTATGTATACTGTGCATAGTATGCAAACTTTCTGTATGCATGGAATACCCTGATGACCTTCTATATTTGCCAGAATCTGCTAAATATTATTCAAGTAGACTGAAATCAGTAAAGAAGCTGAGTTTTGAATGGCACACTACCATACAACTCCTACTATATTGCAGTATCCATGTGTATACTGTGAATAGTATGTGAATTTTCTGTATGCATGGAATTCCCGGATTACTTACTACATTTGCTGAAATCTGAAGTGTGCATCTGAAGGCACTGCATCTCCATGTTTAATCATCAAATGCCTAAGTGAATTTGAGGCGGGGAATAGTAATGCAATACTATTATATGTACATATACACGTTACTGTAAACTACAAACTATTGCTGTGTATCTAAAAACAATATGGTTAGTAGGACATCTATTGTACTTAAGTCAAATGACGTCACCTTTATCTCTATGGCGCTTCATACAGTAGGCTACAGATTGTTTCAAACATATTAAATAATAATAATATTATTGCAATAATATAACATATAAATAAAAATAAAATTTCAATTATGCAAACAGAATTCAATTCCGCTGCAAAGCAGATCGAATGTCTGTTTACTACTATAAGAGCAAATAGCAAATTGGCTATTTTACCCCGCCCACCACTGCCTGGCAGCGGCAAAAAGCAATGCAAAAAAAACGCGTTTATCAAAACTGCAAGTTGCGTAACGAGTAAGATGCGATCGATTCGAATCAGCCTTTTGTCAAACTCATTCGTCTCATTTTCCCCATTAGCCTACATATCAGATCGGAAAGGCATTTATTTTTAATGAAATATTTAAAAAGTGAAAATACATTGCCTCATTAATAATAGAGTGTTTATTGGGTATGGTTATAGCGGTAGGTGTAGGGAGGGCGTTATTGTCCCAATAGGGCGGCATCCATAGATTAGCCTATTATTAAAATGCATTTAATAAACATAATAATTTACACTCAGTATGTTATTGCATACTGTTTTATAATGTACTGAGGTATAAATATCTGCCACCTAACTATTTAGCCTATTACTAAAGAAAATACTGCTATTTTAGTGTAAGCAGAATTTATCATTATTTGCACTTATAGGATAACTAGAATATATCGCTTTTCCCACTTAGTGTAACTGCCAAAAATAAAATAATATCATTGTTCAGTTAAAGACAGCTCAGTGTTGATTCAGATTTTATTCCATATGTAAAGTTCATTAGCTAATAATGAAATGAGTTCAATATAGCATTGTTTACTAGTATGAACCCTTATTAACAAGCCTTTGTAAAAAGGTAACAGCCTGGACAGCTGTGCTGAATTAATGTTCAGTGTTTGTCATGTACCAACACTGTAGCATACTACTCTGAAACATTAATTAGTGTATACTGTTTCACACAATATTCTGAAATGAAATAGTAGAACGTATGTGAGAAGTAAGCTACTGTGCCATTCCGGACACAGCCACTGTTGATATTACTGTATATCTGGCTTCCTATTCCTCTGACCAGAGGGAAATGTTCAGTGATTAGGTTCTGCCAGGAGTTCATTATATGATGAAGGATTCTTGCTCCCACTTACCCATTGCAGCAGGTGTGAATAATTGCTCCAAAACTCCCCAGAGAGACACTTAGAAAGCAAAGACAAACACGATGATACTTAGCAAATCAGTTTGAAAGACTAAAAAGTGCTTCCTGTATGCAAAGGAGGCCCCTGAGCACGCTAAAAAGCTAAAAGTCCAAGAGAACATTTGCATGTGAGCTCGTTCATTTGACATGCACTTATGTGACAGCAGAAAGCTGGCACAGTGAAACCAGCACACAAAAGATGAGAGGCACCACACTGGGCGACCTGCTCTGCTCTTTTTCAGTCCCAGAGAGAAGTGTGAAATACTTTAACTTACTGCTAAAGGACCAATGCACAGATGCCTAAGCATGTAAAATACAATTACAATAAGAATAAAAATTTAAATAATTGAAACATAATTATTTAATACTTTTTTAACTGCAACCAAAACCAAAGATAACTGAATTTAATAATTGAATTAATTATAGAATGCACTTAATTTTTTTTTAGCATGCCGTTTTCATATTTTTGGTGTTGTGTTTAGTGGAGCTATTAAAACATTTAAAAAGTTGCATTTTCAGTACTAGTACTTTTGTCAAGAATAAAAATAAGTGTCAGCTGATCACATTATTCATTGCTGGACAAGACTGGTCTTCAAAAAGATAAAGAAAAAAGAAATGAAAAAGAAAGAAAGGGAAAAAAAATCTGCCTGGCCATTGGTAACAACCTTTATATTCTACATTCACACCAATGAGAAAGAGGGCAGAAAAAGGCAATGGCTATAGAAAAGAGGTAAGAAAAGGAATTGAAAGGTGAGGGGGTGTTTGGGAGTGGGGGGAGGTTGTATCTGAAAAGGTGGCTGTGGAAATTTAGGGGGGGCAAAGTCACATCCATGCTGCACACACATTCAATTCTGCTGGTAAATACTGGGACTGGACAAACCACCTTATGCTAATCAACACAGCATTTACACGTCAGAATCAGCGTCTCTGTCCCTCTTGTTCCTGAACTCATTCTTCCTGCTCTTTCTTTCCTCTCTTTTTTCCCTCTTTCCCTCATTACCCCTCGTTAGTTACTGTATGTCTTTCGCTTTGATAGAGAGTATCTTGCATGAATTAGTACAATATTGCTGCCCCCTTTAAAAGCCAACCCCCCAGTGCCCCTTTCTTCCCCACATCTTGTTGGATTGGGCCACCCTGTACACGTATTGGTACCGGGTTTTTCAGTAAAACACTTGTCAGTGGCATGCATATGGAAATGTGATTCTCCATTTTAGTTGCTAATTCTGCATCCCCTCTAAGGCCCCTTGCTGTGTGCCCCCCACTATCACAACTAGGGGATGCTGAGACCTCATGCTGGGGGCAACAAGGCATTGCACTATTGAGGGATGGACAGGGGTCAGTGCAGGGGTACACTAAAAGACAGGACACGCTTCTCTGGTCAAACACCAGCACACCCCTATATTCTGGGCTCAGCCCGACAGAATTGTGGGATAATATGAAATAAGCATAATAATATTTATTATTTGAGAACAGACAAATAAAATAAAATAAAGGTGTACTATAACTTAAAACCAGGCCACATTTTTTCAACCACCTGTTTTATGGATCAAACAAGATTGCTTCCAACAAATGTGTGATCTTTTATGCAAACAATAGCAGCATAAAACTGAACAATGATCCTTCTTGTGTCTTAAATGAACAAAAAATAATTAAATAAATAAAATCCTTTCAAATGGGGGAGGATGGGGGAATATGATGTCATGAGAAAAAAATCCCCTTTCATTGTATGGTCTAGTACGACCTCATGTAGAAAAAAAGACTCAAGAACATAAGCCAATCAGAATAAGAATAAAAGACAACATAGAACCTAATCCGTAGCCTGCTATCAAACAGGCCTCTTCTGCACAAGTGTGAGAGGTTGAGAAATGCTCTCTCCAGGCGTACGTGTGTGAAAGCAAAGGTGTTTGTGAGAGAAAGTGAAATGACAAGTGTG